CATGTAAGTTTTTCAAAATTCTCTTTCAAATAATTTCTTAAGTTACTATCCGCATATTGCAATACTAAAAAATATTGGTCTTTATTATTATCCTTAGCTACTCCGTAAAAATGACGAATGTGAGGATGGGGTGGTTCCGAGACCTCATGTAATGTTTGAAGCTATATAATATATGTGAAACAGTCGAAAAATATATTTATTTGTTATCCACCTTTTTGATAAATTCTAAAAAAATCCAGACACACACAATAATGGCCTCTCAAACTAATAATTTTGAAGTTTATTATTCCAGACAATTCAAAATATTGCAAATTCAAGATCTCGACGATTCATTATTTATTTCGACATTCTTTTTATCTAATTTTTTTATATATTAATTTTAAGAATAATAATTGTCTGGATAATAAAATTCAAACCATTAAGTGTCGGATTTTTGACAGGATTATGTTGTTTGAGAATTCATAGCTAACATAAATTTTCTCTTTTGGTTTAAATGCCACAAACCTCTACAATAAATTCCCGAATAACATGTTCACCTAGACTCATTTTAACTTTCAAAATCTTCAAAATAACTATACATTCAAGACTTTCCAAACGTGCTTTTTCTACATTAGCAGATTCACTTTTACCAATTTTTTCCAAAATAGTGAAGTCATTATAATTATAAAGCTTAATTCCACTTTCTTTAAGAATATTGTCAAACAGAATAGGATTCATGTTTAACAAATTTCTTGCTACGATCAATTAGAGAATATTGAAGCCAATGGATTATTGAAAACCTATTTTAGACAATTTTAAGATTTATTTGCGGAGTCAAACACGTATGTACGTATGTATGTATGTAGGTACATACTTCTTTTTTTATCTAATGCGAATTTGGATGGTTTGTGTTACGGTACCCAACATTTTCACGATGAAATAGATTGTTTTTAGTTCCGGTGTCACTATTTAATCAGGATAGCTCAGACTATACGTACTATCTCGGGTTAGACTAGGCTAGGAGCGATAAGAAATGCATCAAGAATGAGATGGAAGATATAATGGTAAATAGGGTTTGAATACAACAATACAGTCAACCCTCAGTAAATGTACCTCCTTGGGACTACAGTCAAACCTCAAGAATTTGGTGCTTATAGAGAGTTTGTGCTTATATGGAGGTTAAATTTTATAAGTGTTATATAAGTTGGTTTTTAAAATTTTATGTGATTATAAGTTAATGTGACTATAAAGGAGGTGACTATAGAGAGGTTTGACTGTACTTCTAAAGTTATAAAAATGCAACAAAAATTATTAATAAAGATTTAGTTTCATATTGGAATTATTCAAATAATATTGGAATTTATGCATTATTTTTTGATCTTAGATTTAAAAACTTAGAATTTTTAACTTAGATAAAATTAATAATTAATATTTTATTTTAAATTTTAAATATAAATTATATTATATTAAACTATATATTGTTAAGGGCAAAATGGGTACTAGAGTTACTCTAACCCAGTGCTGTTCTAACCTATGCCCTCTTACAGTAAGAATGCCCCTAAAACAAGCCAATTATTGTGCATCGATTGTACTTTGAGAAACTTAGAAGCCAAGTTGTTCAACTAAAACAATGTTGTAATAATGCAAAATTGGAAAATATAGCTATTTGTTGAATAAGATCTACCAAATTGGGCTAGTTGTTTGTGTCATATAAGGTCATTTAAGGTCCCAATTACAATAGCAAATCTGAAACTATTGAGTTTAGTAGGAAAATGTTTGATCTTGGGTTCCTGTGTTATTTCTTTTTATAAGGTATTATTTTTGTATATAAGTGCATCTTTTTTTTGAGTTGTAATAGAGAAAGAACTAAGTAAAATTATAATTATTAGTACTAGCTGAAATAATAATAAAAACTATCTTAGTAATAAACTAAGACCTTGTACTTATATTCTAGTCTTATCAAATTATTTCATCTTTTCTATAATGTAATGTTTTATGATATTTGGTATTTTTGAGTATCAATTTGTTGCATTTTTCTTAACTCTGTATTCTGCAAATCCAATTCTCCTCTAACAATATATTAAAATTTTAAAAAATTTAATATAATATATAAGGTAAATATAGTTATATTTAAAGCAATTAAAAGAAAATTTAGTATAATTTATAATGTATTAATCTTTAAATAAATAATTTTTATACTATTTGTCTTTTTAAGACAAGTTAAATAGTATTAAAATTATTCAATTCAAATTACTGAACTACAAGTTATTAAAAATTATATATTATATAAAATTAAAAAAGATTTTATAAAATAATAATATTATATTAAATCAGCAATAACTCATAATCATTTATTTCAAATTAAATAATTTTTATATTATTTAATTCATCTTGATAAAATGATTTGAATAATATAAAAATCATTAAATTTCAATTACAAAATTATAAGATAATTGTATTCAAATATTATTTATTAAATTTTTTAAAAAAATTTAAATAAAATATTTAAATACAATTATTTTATAATCCTATAATTGAAATTTAATAATTTTTATATTATTTGAATCATCTCATTAAGATGAATTAAATGCAATAAAAATCATTTAATTTGGAGTAAATAGTTATAAGTTATTGCTAATTTATTACAATACTTTTTTATTTTTAATACCTATATTTCTCTTATAAATTAATATATAAAATTATAATTTTATTAAGAATCAAAAATTCAAACAATAAAAGAAATTAAAAAAGAATATGAAAATATTTCTAAAAATACTATTACTAATAAAATTGTAATTCCTTAAGTATCAACAAATATATTAGCAATGGCTAATATTTTTGTAACAAGAAATTAAAAAATTCTTATTCTAATCTATGATAAGTTTACTTGTTATCTTAATAAAAATATTTTTCTAGCTTTAGAAGAATATGATCTTTTAATTAGTAAAAAATTAATAAAATATATTATTCAAAATGATCTCAACTTGTTATAAAATATTTATCTATTCCAATAACCTCTGTCTCTTTAGAACATTTATTTTCTAATACTAGTAAATTAATTACACCTAAAAAAACACTATTAAATTTCTTTTTAGTAAAAAAAATGATGTTTTTTAAAAAAAATAAGAAATATATAAATATTTCATGTAATTCTAATTAGAACAATGAATAAATTATGTTTATAAAAAAGTAAAATTTTTATTAAATTATTTATTATAAATTATTAAATTTTAAACTTTATTAATAAATTTTTTTTACAAATTTTATAGACATAATTTATACAATTTAGTTATAAATATAGTTTAAAATTTTATAGACATAATTTATATAATTTAGTTATAAATATCATTTAAAATAGAGTTTTTAATTAGTCATTACTTTTTTTCATTTTTTTTATAATATTTTTATATTTTATTTATTTTTTAAATTATTATTCTTTTCTTGTTTATATATTATTAAAAATAAAAATACAAATTTTAGATTAAAATAATAAATATTAAAATCCTTATACAATATTCTAATATTCTAAAATCTATTATTTTAAAATTATTAGATTCATGACATTGCTCAAGATTAAATATAAGTAATAACAATATATATATAGAATTTGATTATTGATTATAAATTAATTATGATGATTCAATTATTGATTAAAGTTTTTAAAATTGATTCTTATTTCTATTATCATATATAGCACCCTAGTCTTTTACAATTAATAGATGTTATATGCAGTATTATATAGTATAACTTTTTTAATATATACTTAATAACTTATAAAAACTTTTATAATAGCAATTTATTGAAAAAAAATAATAACAGGCATAGAGCATCTCTTTTTATAAAAGCTCAAAATCTTGTTTATAATAAAAATTATAGTAAAAATATATAAAATTACTATAACTTTAAGCTAAAAATCTTTTTAACTTAACTAAGTAACTTAAAATTAAAATTTACAATTATATAGAACAAAGAAGAAGAAAAAATTTAGCTTAAAAATTAAATTAAAATTTTGTTAAATTTGCTTATTTTAAAAATATAATTTCTTTAAAAATAATTATTTTTTAATTTTATAATAATTATTATATATATTATTATGCATTGAATAACTTAACTTAGAAGACAAAAGTAGGTTATATTAGTATAATAATAAGTTAGTTATATATTAAAAATAAATATTTTTATTTATCTAAGTATATTTTTTTTATTAATTGGTATTTATTAACCTTTTGTATTATATTTAGTACAATTTAAAAAAATTATTAAACAATAACAAATAAATAAATTTTATTTGAATTTTTGTCTAAAGATATATTAAATCTTATATTTTATTTATGCAAAAAAATTAAGTAGTATTTATATTTGAAATTTTATAAAAATAAGTTTAAAGATTTTATATAATTATTAAATATTATTATATTAGATTTAGTATAATATAAGTAATATATTATAAAAATTTTTATTAATAAAATTTTTTAAAATAACTATATATATATTTACTTTTTTTTTTAAGATAAGGTTTTGCTTATATCTTTATTAATTTGTTAAAAAAGCATTTAGAGACTTCTCTGGATATAAATTATAAACTTATTTTAATTATAAAGATATTACAAAAATAAAGCTCAGGTTATAGACAGATTTTTATCTAATTTATCTACAACCTAAACTTACTAAGATAGTTAAAACTCATCTAAATTTGATAGTATAAAATATTATTTGTAAAGTAACTATATAGTATTTAGTATATAAACTAAAAATTAATTTTATAAAGCATATTTCCTAGTGATAAGCAATTATTATCTTTTGTATAAAGTTGGTTAAATAAATTACATAATTGGCAAACTGTATAGTATAGATTACAATATTGGTTGAAGTAGTTATATAAGATTTTTTATAAGTTGTAAATTTATTATTTAGTATAATATTGTTATATTTTTTTATTATACAAGTTTAGTAGCATATAGTTTTCAGATATTATTATATATTTATTATGATATTTTGATAAGCAGTTTGATAGTTATTAAGATTGTTATATAATAAAATATAGTATAAAATCTAATTGTTATAATTAGGTCTGTTAATATATATTTTTATAATATTATATATATACTGCTTTGTTCTCTTTAAACATTATTAAATGATAGACTATTATAATAAGTTAATAAATAATATAATTGTTGTAATTGTAATTATATAATATCTAATAATGAGTAATTAATAATTTTGAAAATTATTTCTGCAATAGTACTAGTAAGATTTATTGAATTAAGACAAAGCAACTAGTGTAGTAAATGTTTTGATATTTGGCAAGTAATGCAATTATTATACAAAAAACTGTCTGAGTATAGTTTATAAAGATGATATAATAGTTTATTTATTTATTATATAATATCAAATAGGAAAAATGATAATATATAAATATATTAATTGAATATAAATATATAACTAAGTATTATTTTTAAAATACACTATTATTGCTATATATATTAATAACATCTAGTATAATATTATCTTTTTATTTTCTGTATTAGTTAAATTAACTTCTATTAATTATTAACTACAGAAAAAAGTAAAAAGTAAATCTTTAAAGTTAGTTTAATTAATAAAAACAAGTATATATAATAAAATGTTGAAACAAGATTTTAGAAATAAAAAATCTATATCAGAATTAAAAATAAAAATAGTATTATTGGAGTTTGAATGTTAAGAGATAAGTAAGTAGGTTTTGTTTTTTTTTTTAA